GCAGAGGTGGCTCGGACGCGATCGTTCTTGGTACTCTGGGTGAACTGCATGCCCCAGCTGGAGTGAACTGCATGCCCAGCTCCATTTCTTGGATCTTCTTAGGATTATTTTTTACATCATCTTTGGACCAGATCCCTGCAGACAGGGGGCCTGTGCGTCGCAAGAGCTGATGTGACCTTTTTTTCATGATGCCGTCTTCCGTGAGAGTCGTTGATCCTCACTCGATCCTGTGTGTATTTGAATAGGGAGAGCCCCTGGCCCAACGGATAGATTGGTCTCTTTCCGTCTTCATCCTTCTTCTATAGGGGGTCTCATTGGTTCACTCGCTCCCAGCCGCTCAGCCTAGAAGCGCACGGCCAGTTCAGGATCGAAGGGTTGCTGCGACAGCCATTGTCCTCTTCCACGCAGGGGCAAAGAGGCAATCCCTGCAGAAATCCCCAAAAGCTTCCCCACCACATAGAGTGCACTTCTATGCACTTCTTGGCCGTGAAATTCCAACTCAAGGATGTCATTTGGGATCCAGACTTTTGTCTTATTCCACCTTTGCCCTCCCCCCCTCTCGGAACGTAGGTGGATCTCCTTCGTGGTCTCGAGCCTCACTGGGCAGCTTGGACCGTCCGGACCGGACCGGCTGACCAGGTCGTTGTGGCTTTTGGGGGAAGACCAGTCTCCATAGATGTCTCCATAAGAGTCTGAACCGGTCTGAGCTCTTGTGATGTTGATTGTTCCAGGATGGAGCAGAGCAAAGATGACAGTTCGGTTGGACATTTCACCATCCACCAATGGCCGCAAGGCACTAAAGTCCAATTTCTTCGGCACGAAAGTGGCACTCTGCTGATCTGTATCCCAGGCGCAGATCAGTGCAGTTGCTATGGAAGTGACAAAGGCTTCGCTGCAAGAGGTGCTCTCGCCCCTTGGAAGCCACGAGGGACTCCCACGCGCGCGAGGTGCTCCCACCGGGCGCGCCGGGGGACGGACGCCGGGGGACGGAAGCTCTGCTGGACTCCGGACGTGAACGAAGCGCAACGAAGCCGGACAGGAACAACCCAATTCTAGTCCCAACTCGTTTGGAGCTAGAAGAGCGGACGCAGTGCCTTAGCATGCCTGGCTGCCTTCGTTTCTGCAGAGGTATGTTGGACAGGCAAGGTCAAGGTAGAAGTTGCAGAAGCCATGTGAAGCAGTGCCTTTGAAGCAAAATAGACCTTGGTCCGTTTTGGTTAATGTTGGCGCCTGATTAGTAAATAGGGGCTCCCCCCCCCCCCTCTCAAACAAACAGGAGGTCCTCTATAATAAACTATCACCAAAACAAATCTGGATTCCTGTGAGAATTCCTTCTTGTAATTGATTGTAGTATTCATGTTCCTTTCATAGATTGTATTCAGCTTCCTTTCTCAGGTTCTTTGTAATTGTTCTCAGCAATCCTTTTGCTTTGCAGCCTCAGATCTTCAGCTCAAGAAGCCCCAAGCTTTCATTGGCCTCAGGAGCTAAGTAAAGGGAGATTCCATGTGCATTTTTTCCAGTGGAAAAAAACGTTTCACAATAGAGGTCCCAAAAACAAATTTATTATTGAGGATCAGGT